AGGGGGGGGGGGAGAAGGGGCTGGCAGACCCTGGAAAAAATAGTGAAGGAAGAAGAAAAAAGAAACGCGATGAAACAGGGGAGATAAGTGAGGAGGATGAGGGTACCTAAAAGCTGCAGAGCTTGCAGCGATTCGTCAAGGGTCGAAGGTGTCTGCTTGTGTTTACGATCCTCCTAGACATTAAGCTCACGCACGTCCTCGATATGGAGTGTAGCGTTCGGGTTGGGTCCGGCGGGGAGGGTAGGACAGTGCTTTCTAATCGAAAGCTCTCAAGATGGCAGCCGTGAAATGGGCTGTGACGTTGGTCAGTTGCCATGATCCTCTTACTCTCGTCCCGCTACAGCTGTTCCGGGTGAGAACGTAGTGAGAGCTTTCGAGCTTGCACCTGGGAAAGACATAAATTCCCAAGAGATGGAGAGGACGATTAGGAAAAAGGTATAAAAAGGACGAAAGAGAAATGGCGAGAATGCAAGAAAAAATAAAAATAAAGTCGAACATCCCTCTGTGTGTCCTCTCAAGATCTCATTAGAATCGTCGGGAGCTCTAGGGAGCTTTTCGACTCGGAGGGTTAATGGCCACGGCCGTTGGGTTTTAAGCGAATTTTCCCAATCGAATCGGCCAGTTAAATTGGATGAATTCACGTTGACGCACTCGACTCGTAACGAAGGTTAATCGGTATTCGTTGCGAAAGGACGAAGTTGGAGCAAATCCTGGGAAAAGGGAACCCAGGTAAAATTGCTAGAAGGAAACTTGGATTTGGGCTAGGTAATAGAGAAGGAAAAAAAATATGAAAAAAAAAAGGATACAGGGGAAAGACTTGCGATACGTAACCCACACAGGACATCTCGGTAACAAAATGGCTGTCTGCGTCTTTTCCCATCGGCTGTCACGATCGGTTCATTGGTCTCCTGGGATTTGCCGACCAATTCCCGTTCTATCTATTCTTACTCCCTTTCTGTCCCCTTCTATTCTTTACCGAGGATACCAAACATGGCCCGTCACTGGTTCGTCCGCAAATAAACCTAATCACCTGTACTATTTGACTGGCCAAACATAGAGTCCGGATTCTACGAAGCTCTCAAGGTACCCAGCCACGTATCCGGATACCTAAGGTACACAGAGCTTTTCAAACGAAAATCCTTTAAGGTACATATGGTTCAAAATGAATTCCTGTCTTTCGCTTTAAAAATTATACCCTTGTCAGACAATCATGTAAGAATATTAAATTTTTCATAGTTTTTTATTTTTATTTAAAATAATTTTTTCACACGGTGCAATTGAATTTAACTTTCCGTCACCAGACGCGATGGGTCTTATCGTCCTACAACTTGACGGTTCCCTAAATGTCAGAATACCGGCGACAAGAGACGTTTGCGCTATTGACCGAGGCTCAAAACAAAGGAGGGCTGAATTCGAGGGTACGTGGGCTTCAAGTGGCAAAGGGGTGCTTTTGGAGCCAGTAGGTTGAGTCGGCTGCCTTCAACTGCCTCGACTACC